GAAATTTTATACGCGACGGATAACATAACTACAGCTGAACGACAAACAGCAACGCACTCGACATCTACCATACAGGAAATACGTTTTAAAATTAAGTAATATTAAATGTACAAATAAGGCAACGGTAAGCAAACGGCAGTTTACTAAAATCGTTAGTTTTTTTAATCAACTCAACATTGTACCTACTTGACTTTGTTATGTTTTTAACATTTGGAATTATTTTTATTGTACACACTATAATTTGTTATCATCAAGTGTATATGTTTAAAATTCTTTACTTAATATAGTTGATGAACCCACGAGAAAAAAAATTCTTTAATTTTTCTAGTACCAGATGATTTTTAACAATAAAATTACAAAATGTTGTCTTCGTTCAATGTTTCACATATACGGTAGTCGTATGCATACATTAATCGTTTCTGTAGAAATAATATAGAACCAAAATACAATATTATACGTATACGATTCTGCGAATGCGCGTGTACGGTAGTAAAAAATATACTTCAAAAAGCGTACAGTATAGAAGTGCGAGATGAACGAGCAAATATTATTTTTTTATTTCAAACAGAGAATAAGAGGTCTTTAAAGAAAAATTACCATTCATGAGTATCTTCTACGCGATTGAAATGCTAAATACAAAAAAACATTGATTTTTATCTCAACACTTGATCAGTATATATTATCGGCATACAACATAAACGCAATGTTATTGCAATTAATTCTATGTTTTTAAGAATACAAATTACTGTTTATGCAAATTTTACATTAAAAATATATATACCAAGGTATTATTAATTTATACAATTTTACACATTCCTATATGTTTATATATAACGTTTTTTATAATGCCATTGACCACTGCGCCAGCGACAATACCAATTATCTGATTACTTATCATTATTATTTATTACATTATGATTAGTACAGAATACTTCATATCAAATAGGTGCCTACTTATAATAATTGTCATGATGGATCTTTTGTATAAAACTAAATACCTTATACAATTTTTCATCTATTGTTATTTTTTTTGTTTTTGTTTTTTTTTTTTTTTTAAATATGAGTTTATTTTGAAATATTACAATCTATACAGAGGTGTATAATAAGTAATAATTATGGTGAAAAGAAAGAAAATCTATGAACTAATGATAACATGGTAGGAAATCTCTCATTGGAGACACCTAGTGGCTTTACAATAAATTGTTATAAACATTTAATTTGTATGAAATGTTATTTTAGGTACTTTATATAAATTCGTTATAAATTTATCATTAAATTAACTAGTTATTAACTAAATTAACATTTCAACAGTAACATACTTAGTAAATATAACATTATTAAATATATATTTAGTGATTCTAATAAAATGTTCAATATAAAACCTTTTCATTATTTAATTATAATACATAATTCACAGACTAATAAATGTTTATTTATTTGTAGGTAAAAAATTGTTTTAACTACCTAGATTTCTAATTTCTATGTAATACTAAATATTAATTTTAATATGTTGAAAGGTACCTAATTCATTATTTTATTATTTTAGATTGTTCAAAACTTCAATGAAAGTTTTATGTTAATATAATATATCTGTATTATCTTTATACAATTATTTTTATACAACTACTAGGTACTATAACCCATTGTCTAAATAAATAGGAAATCTGCTTTAACTAAATAAATAAAACTATAATGTCTACATCAATCGTTGAAGCCAATATTCAAAATGTAGAATAATATTATACATTTAGGTTATATATGTAAACTAGAGTATTTTTTAGTTTTATTTTGATTCAAATCAATAAATACAATAGTCTTTTGTTAAAAATATTACCGTGGTAAATTTAAACAGAGAACAAAAAAAAGTAATTAAGATAATAAACATCATAATAACTGCAAAAAATGAAAATGATTGAAAAATCGTTAACAAAAAACTTAATATATTTTTTAATTTATGATGTTACTCACACTTATAAATGGGTACCTTCACATTAATTTGTATTATTTTTCAAAGTTACACACAATCTATGCAATATCTACAAAGTACAATAAGGGTATAGATGACGAGAATTATGTTAACAACTAAAAACATGAGTAAGGAGACATCCATTAAACGTTTTAAACGCGGAAGAGGATATAAAAAATTTAATTAATAAATAAATAAAATCAAAAATTAGGAAGTAATCTGGTTTGAATGTTGAATTTGCAACAAATTTACAATAGTGTTTATATTGTAAAAGTAAAGGTTTGGATACCTAATGTAAAGTATTCTTTGCAAAAACATGAAAAACATATGCAGAAAAAAAAATTATATTTAATTAAAATCTGTATTATAAATAATTGGGTAAATAATATCCACTTTAAACATAAAAGCAAGCCATTCAAGTGCTATTCTTGAATATTTAATAAAAGTTTATATAAAACACTTTTATATATATATGCAACTGGACTCTAGAAATATCCATCATTTACACTATATGAATCATGTAACTTAACAAATAATTGGTTCTATAACCTTGTCAACCTAATCGTAGAATGGTGTCAACACTGTCAACATAGTCAACAATTTAAATGCATATTGAAGTAAATAATAGATAATAAATATAACCGATTCTAAAAACAGAAAAAATATTCACAAATTTCTTTTTTTTTTTTAGCTGTGAAAAATATTTTTTATTTTATTAAATAAATAATACCTTGTTATAACATGTAATATGTTGACACATTGTAAGTTTAAATAAATAAATTAAAAAAATAAATATTTTTTATTTACAGTATTTAATTTAAAACGATCAATATTAATATTTAGATAATATATAATATCATTAGGTACGCGCACAAAATTGTTGGGCAATGAAATATGTATCTATCTATAAATAAATATTAAACATGACTAAAATGCCAAATATGTAAACAAATATAAGACTAGAATTTTATAATCGGTATTACCTACATTATTAATTACTATAAATAACAAATAGGTACATCCCAATTGACTAATGTATGTTATTTAAATTTCAAACTGATCAATTTATTCAAATAGAAAATAACCGCTGTTAGTATCATATTAATTCGGCGTTATATTTATTCTGTTATTATGCGGTTGGATAAAATGCATTTGCATCTAAATCGAGTATAACTAAACGAAACCGATTATTGTTTGCTGAGAAAGCAGGTAGAAGCAAATATCAACAATAATAATGAAATTGTAAATATGAAATATTAAAATACCCATACATTACACGTGTTTTATTATATAATCGACGCGTTTGAACTTATAGAAACGTGCATAAATATAAAAATAACACTTTTCCGAATTATCAAATAACATCGAAAACAATAACAATAAATTATATTTAGGTAATGTTTAAATATTGTAGGTACGATCAAATTTTTGTCAATGCGACCAACTGAAATACGAGTTAAAATCCAAAATATTAATACTACATAACAAACGAAGAGAGTGACGGATATTTACGGAATAACCACATTCTCCCATAGTTCCAACACGCACCTAAGGTTAAATATAATAAATTTTCCGTATGCGATTCGCGTGTCAGTACAATAATTTATAGAAGAAATCGCCAAAACCATTTATAACTATTTATTTTTTAACACGGTGCTACTACTAACTACTACGCTACTACCGCAGCAGTTAAAAAACAGTAGCGACGACGTCAGTATAGTAATTAGGCACATCGTCGTCGTACTCATCATCATCGTTATCATCAACAACATCATCATAATGGAAACGCGTCCATAATGTTGGATTTAATTGTCGTCTGGCGCCAAGATGGTACACACACACACTGCACACGTATATATATATTTACGATGTATAATGTTTAAGGCGATTTGGTCGTGTCGGCTGAGCGACAGCTTTTCCTTATAGCCCCAAGGTAACGTTTATTGTTTACCCATATATAACAATAACATTATAGACTATGATATAATTACAATATCTTACATTATACCTGAACGACAACTATTCTTAAGCGCGATGGCACGGAGAGATTAAAGTTAAAAATAAAGTCGTTAAAAAAATCACATTTTTATGCAACCTTTGTACTTTTTTCAAAAATACTATTTTATTAGGTTTTATACATCTTGTGAATTATATTTTAATTTGATTAATGATTGATGGTTGAAACTTATTATGAAAAATAAATTAGATAAATAACCAACATATTTTGATTTCAATATAATATTTAAGAAATCGATCAAAAAGTTTAAATTTTTTTTTATTTTTAAATATGACTTTATTTTGAGATATTACAATCTATACAGGTGTACAAAAAGTAATAATTATGGTGAAAAGAAAGAAAAACTATGAACTTGAAAGTTAAAAATAAAATCCGTAAACATATAAAATTTAATTATGGTTATGATATTGTTATATTATTTTAATAAAGTAAAATATTAAACATTTAAATGATAAAAATTTTCAATAAAATTAATATTTAGAGCTATAGCAATAAAATGTCGGTGTATCTAAGCTGTATTAGCTATTTATAATAAAATTAATAATACCTATTGGCTATTGTTATTACCTACTACTGCGAATCTCATGAGTAAATATGATATAAATCATTAAATCATACAGATTATAGGACCATCGTTAATGGGTTACGATAGAAAAATTCTGATTATTATCAATAATAATATTATGGACACGCACGATTAAAAAAAATTGGCCTAAAGCGTACCCATACGATTATTTTCAAAAAGACAAAATCAGCATACTAATATGCTTATCAGATATATTAATTATTGCATGATAGGTAGTACCCAACTGCATTTATCGATAATAGAATATGATTACGCGTTATACCTATTGGGTATATTAATTCCTACGCGTTACCTACTCACAAACTCAATACCAGACTTTAAGTAAAAATTTTAACATTATAAGGTACCTTATAAGGATACATTAATATTGTGATAAAAATGAAGTATAATAGGTAGTAAATATTGTATTATTATTTTTTATCGAGACCGACCTGCCAGATTTGGTGATGACCATTTCGGTGCCGAGTTTGTGGAACTTTTCCCACAGATCCTTGCCCTCCAGCGTGACCTTGGGATCGTCGACCACGCCGTCGTCCTCGGGCCTGACCACGGAACGGGGTAGCGCGGCCGCCGGGTGTGGATGGTGGACGCCGTGCGCGACGGCCGCGGCCAACGCGAGCATCTCTTCGGCCGGATAGCTACCGGCGCCCGGGTGATGCGGCGCGTGGTGCATCTTTGGCATGGGTATCATGGTTCCCGGATAACAGGCGCCCATGGCGTACGCCGCGGCCGCTGCGGCCGACAGACCGGGAGGCGGCGGAGGCGGCGGCGGGTACTGCTGCTGCTGGCCACCGGCTTGCTGCTGCACCGTGGACGGCGGCGCGCCGCCACTGCTGCTGTTGTTGTTGTTCGTCAGCAGCGAGCTGACGGAAAAATCGGTGGACGACGCGCGGGCCGCCGTGTACGATGTGTCTGGTGAACGTTGGCCGCCGGTCATAGCGGCAGCGGTCTGCGGGGTGTCCGGTGCCCCACGGGGTGACCGGCACCTGAGGTCCGCTTGCTCGAACCGCATAACAGCCACGCCGTCCACGCCGTTACCGTTTGACCCAGCCACTACGGTGGACCAGACTCCTGTACGAGCATTCACAAATGTTTACCGCGAGTGATTGACGGAGCACGGAAAAGGAAAAAAAAATCCAGCGCAAAGCGAAATGTATGTTTTCTTCGCTGTATTATATTTTTCGATTGTTATTGTGATTCGTTTCGACGTTGTTCCGGAAAAATATTATTTTTATCGGCAATCACACGCGAGACACGGTCGATCGTTGTTGTTCGCGCGCGGTTTCGACGGAGTGTTTTCGAGCGTCGAACGCGAAAAGAGTTTAAAAAATATTAAACGCGACGATTATTATTAAAATATTTTTTGTACACATACGTACAATTAACGTTAATAATTATGACAGTGATCGTGTGTGTGCGCGCGAATAATATGTAAAAACACGAGGGGCCGAGTAGAGACGAATCGCCGTCACACTACTACTACGACCACAAAAACGACGACAAAAGCGACAACGATAACGAGAACAACAACAACAACGACGACGACAACGACAACGGTTAGCGCGCTCGGTGCCGACTGACTGTGTGGCGGCGGCGGCGATGTGACAACACCGACGCCCCGGTCGAGTGTTAATGAGAGTCGCGTCCGGATTGGTCGAGACCGGCCCGGCCAATCGGCAAGCGTCGACGGTTTCACGCAACGGCGTCAACACGCACACACGCACACACACACGTACGGAGCTCGCGTCGACGTACTGTGCGGGCGCGCCGCGTGTGTGCGTGTGCGTCCGCGTTTGTGTGTATACGACACGCGCTTGCGAGTGTGCGTGTGCGTGTTGGACCCGACGCGGTTGCGGCGGCGTTGGTGGGGGACGCCGTCGCCGGTCAACGCTTGTTCAGGAGGCGGCGGCGGCGGCGACGACGACGACGACGACGACGCCGGTGTTAAAATACGGCGCCCACCGCCGCCGCCGCCGCCACCACCCTACGTGTATGTGTCCGACGTAACGACCGGAGGACTTTTGGCGCCCCTTCCTCGCCGCCGCCCTCGCTCGTCGCGCTATACCGCAAAACGCCGCCGCCGCCGGCCCCCTTCGACGTTCACGCGCACGCATCCTCCTACGAGAGACCGTTCGGCATAATATTACATCGTACCGTCGTATATAGAGTGCTGTTGTATGCACACATACGCCGTGCGCCCGCGAGTTTCACGTGCGTATATAATATTATAATGTACAGTGTAAGCGCGCGCGCGCCCTTCTTTCCTTTGCGGCCCGTTTTTCCGTCCACCCGCGACATTTCGCGCGTATACAATATCAAATGAGATTATAGAATACACGTCCGAAGTTTCACCACACACACACACACACACATATATATATACAGAGAGAGAGAGTGCAGTTTTGTTCCTTTCTATGCCTTCCTACGGCATATTATATTATATTACGGCGCGTCCTGCACGCGCGTACGCCCTTTGCGGTGTCGGACGTCCGTTCCGCGTTGTTCCGTTTCGGACTTTCGATAAAGCGATTTTTAGATTTTTATCCCGCGAGTCTATTTCAGCTCGTACACCACCGGCATTTGTGTTCGGCACGTAGATACTCGCGCCTGCAATAGTAGTAATGTGAAAAATATTTTTTCTGTCTTATATAAGTGCACTCTTCGCGACTGCAGTGGTGCATTATGTTTTAATAGTCTGTTGAAATAACATTCTGCCGTACGCGAGATAGTCTGTAACGTGATAATTTTAATGAAATCTCATACCCACTTCATTATATTTCTCAGCAGCGTTAAAAAAAAAAAAAAAAAAAACGACGAGTAATAACATAATAATTATTATTATATAAATATTTATAATATTATTTCGCGATAATAATTTTATGGCACCTCTCGTGAATTACTATATTGGCAGTAAACTTTATCTTAACTCATTATTATTTATATTAATATACTATACATAATAATAATATACAACTACACATGATAATGTGAATTTTGTGTGTATACAGGTAATGTATACTAAGCCTTATGTGTCATTATCGAAACATACGCCGGTAAGTTATTTTAAACCGTATAACACGGGCACTGTTGTCCAGTTATTATACATTATGATTAAATTCGGTTTATATAAATAATTAAAATTAAAACTAGTACACGCATTATTGAACACGTCTCTAAACACATTTCATTGAATTATTTCATTATTTCTCTCGATTCGATATAGTATGTTAATATTGTTTGCGATTTTTACATTTAAATAAAATATCCGTCTGTTACTTACATAAAAACTAATAAATAATAAATTAATATACATTGTGTTTACTCTATTTTAACTATATTATTATACTTGGCAGACGGTTATTAATTTTATTATAAAGCATAGTTTATTTATTTTCACCATATTCATTAAGTACATAAATATAATAATTATATTCAATATTATTTCTGTACACCAAATATTTCGTTTTTATTTTATTTTTTTAATACTTCCTTAGATAGTGGACCTCCGACAACTCAAACATAAAATACTAATGAATTCCAGCATTTCACGTTTCTACAAAATGATTTATTTTAAGAAACTAATTTTTTATCAGGGATTATTATATAGTATATTCATATTTTCCATTAACCCCATAATATTATTTTTCACATTTCAGAATTTTGTCGTAACGCAATATTGTATTGCAATTAAGGTACTGGATGCATAATTTGTTCTATATACATATATACATAGTTACAAAACTTCAAACAGTCCAATCATTGACAAAATCTTAGTCCTGCACATAATATTAGTATAATTGGTGTACGACTTACGAACAGGACCTATGGGCTAAAATCTAAATTTACTGTATATTTTATAAAAATACAATATTATATTGTAAGCGAAAACTACCTACGCCAGCAGGTTGCATCAGAAACTGAATCTGTCTATATTTAGCGTGTACACCAATAGGTAATATTATTAAACCGTGTTATTTTAAACTCACACGGTGAATTTCTTAACGTTTATAAATAAAAACGCGTAGGTATATACCTATCGGGAACTATTACACGTAGACCACGGCACTGCAGAGTGTTCAACGATATTATTTCATTCATACCACAATAATTGTCCACACGTCCACATCACAAATATGATTATAACACATGGGTGTACCTGTAATTACACACGACGTATATAATAATATGTAACGAGCCGGGTTCGCATCTGCGTTGCGTCTGCTCTGCATGCAGTGTCGTGTCGCGTGCGGCTTTTATCGTTGAATGTATAATCACGGAATCGTTCACTAACCGTGATCTACCGTGAAATTTACGGTGCAGTCGAGAGGAGTTCACAATTTTTGGACATGACACGACAGACGCGACTACGTCAGCCGCGTGTACACCCGGCTATTATATCACATGACTCGCTCGCGTACGGCAAGAGTTAGTAGTCGAGTTGATTTTTTTTTCAAATAATATATTTTGGAATGCCTACGTCATATTGTTATATTATAGCGTTCGTATGGGTATACTTTGGTATAATATTATGTACGTGCGAGTAAATGCCCGAATCCGTCGGCGCACGCGTTGTCGTTGGCGACATACGCGGCAGTTTGTTCGAAAATAATAATATATTATTTTTGTTTCGGCTCGGGGGGAGGGGGGGGATATTTCGAACCTGGCGTCGTCGCGATCGTGTGTAGTAACCAGCAGCTATAATATTATAGCATGTTAGCACACCGAACCTACATATACCCAAACTGCAGTATTGTATAATATTGTTATATAATTCCGTAACTAGTATTAACCGCATTATACATACCTACGTTACGTGTGCTACTCGGCGTGAACTGCGCGAGGGGGTTCAAAAAAAAAATCGGTGGAAACGCGCGTTACGAGATTATGAAATAATCGTTTCCATAACAGCTAAACTGCCTAAACGTCATTTAGATGAGAATATATTATAATACCCCATGTATATATATCTACTATGATAATATAACGGCGGCGCGCGAGCGTGTGTAATATTTGTTACGCGAAATGCGACGATAAGGTAATATACCTATAATAGGTATTGTAAAATATAATAATAAAACTGAATTTAATTCTTTGGTAATCAATAGACTGGAATTGATCATCGTACATATAATATGTTCACGTCGTACCCACGGCACACGCATTCAATATTTTATAAAACTGATATGTTATTATCTCGTATCGTTTATGTACACGATAATGTTCCTATAAACGCGAAACGCACCCACCATAAATGGTTTTGTTATTATTATTTCACGCACAAACGAATCGTGTTTTTAGCAAATCCCATAGCGTCGGTGATAGACAACCCCCATTACGTACTATAATAATAATAATAATAATAATAATTTTATTGGACTCGGAATGCAATATACATACCAGTGGCGTAAGTAATACCTTCTGTGGAGGGTGATAGATATGTTTATTTCGTGTTATTGTCGCAACTCGCGAAGAGTATCATACTTACTGTATTAAACTATCAAAGTTCACTGCAGGATAACTCGCGACCGAATAAGTTTAAAGGACGCATGCACCATTCTGCTGGCATATATCTATATAATATCAAAATTAAAAATATTTTAAATTAAAAACAAGTTCATGTTAAATATCAGTATATCACTCTATAATATATTATACATGTTACACCTCATCATAGTTACAGCATATTGTAGCACGATTTTAAAATTACAAATTACATAATAGTCGATCACCCCCTCGGTATAACCGAACTGCAGATAGTGAAAGAGAGGAATCGTGAAATTTTAAAACTGAGAATTTTAATCACAAATATGCTTGAGATCATATTATTATATTTACGGTTAATAACCTGTAAAGTAACAACTACATACTAACAATATATAATAATAATAATAATAGAAAAAACTTCTGATTAATTTACTTCAATAATTGTGATAATAATTGCGTCTCCTGCAATAAGCGTTTTTTATTTAGAAACTAAATGCCGCTATCGATATTAATTAATTTACTAGACATAAGTATAATCCGTTTCTCGGGCGACAGACAGCCAATACCCTGCGCGTATTAAAATATATACATATTTAAACGAATATATAGTTATTTATAACCGGAGTGGTTTAAATGGTATCAATACGCGTACAACACGGTAAGTCGAAAACGTTTGTAAACAATATTAATGACGACAATAATAAATCGGGTTTTTGTGGAACGGCGGCGGCGGATGCGTTCGATCGTCGCGGGTCTCATCCGGTCCTCGTCGACCGGTTTGACCGTCGTCGCGGTCGTCGCCGCCGCCGCCGTCGTCGGACTCGACGACGAAGGTCGTACTACAACACGGCCGTATATAATTGGTTTATTATTAATTTGTTGTTTTTTTTATCGTCCGTGTTCGTCGCGCCATGTGCGTTTACCGACTATCTTCTGGACACCGTCCACGTAAGTTATATAATAATATAATACCATCATGTGATATTGTTCGCAGCTATATAATAGTTTTATCACTTCGGTACAATATAACGATATTATATACCTGCAACAGTAACACCGTTTAAACAACTGTAACATCGATGCAGCTGCTGCAGCGTCTGAGGAGGGTCTCAATAATATTATGGTCGAAGGGGGTTTCGGATGTATATGTATTAAGACGTTCGTGATGGTTATTTTATGCGTATTTTACTAAAATTATGATGTGAATTAGTGACAAGCCAA